TTGAATTCAATCGCACATCGCGCCCGACACGTCAGAATCCGAACTCCAATCACCCGCGCTCCGCTTTGTATAAAGATTTCTTCTAAAACAACATATACACACAGGTATTGTCACAGTTACCCTTTCTCTTTTAAAACTCGAAAATTTCAGGCAGTTGCAGTCTACATGCGCCTCGTCAGGCTAAGGGAGAACTGTAGCCGCACCCATTCCGTCAATCTCGCGGCTACAGTGCTCCCCAAACCTGACGAAGAAACGACAAATGTACACCCAAATTAAGACTTATTCGACCGAAATATATATGAATCTTCGAATCAACGATTTACTGTGGAGTCGCTCAAACCTTACACTGTCGGCCACATGTTGGGCGATATATACGTACAGTATTTTTGCGCAGCCAAAAAAACAATTAAAGCCCGACCGGCAGGTTGCATATTGGTACTGTTAAAGTAGGTGGGGCGGCATGTTACGATTGGTTGACGAGGAAAAAGATAAGCGATTTTTTTTTTGCGAAACTTCATATTCATCCACCTCGTGCTTGCGCGGGAGTTTCCAAGGGCTACGCAACCTGGCAGAGGCGTCAGGTTTGAGCCCCGTCATTTGGCAAGGGACTCACACCTGCCTCTTTGCCATGTTGCAAGGGGGGTTTTCGTGTCTGCGTTTTTGCGCTATCAGCCCACATCGTTTTTTTTTTGTTAGGGCAAGTTGAAAGGAAACGAGGCTCAACTATTGGGCTTCGGTTTCGCCCTTGTGCAATCAAACACACGTTGGTACACTTGCGCTAAACCGCCTGAAAATCAAAATTTGTATGAGTAATTACCCTTTGAGCACACTTTGTGCTTGTTCACCTCGGTACTTGGCAGGACGTAAGCTTGCCAAGTTTGTCGAGGCACAGAGTTGAGATGTTTGAGTCTCCTCAACCACTGCTGTGGGTGGGTTCGGTTACAAGTTCTCAAGATACAGCATCTTGAGAAAAGGAGAGTTGCAACCTGCTGGTCGGGCTTTAACCCTTAGGGACCCAGCATGTGACTCGGGGTGGCATCAACCCTATACTCGAGAAAGGGCCGCGAATTTAGGGTTGATGCGATCTTGAAAGGCATGTCGGGCCCCTATAGTTTTATTTATTTGCCCTAAATGCTGCCCAAAATGTCTTTGTCCCTTTTTGCATTTACTGTCGAATTGCAGCGCAACAAATTTTGCTGTGAGGTTCTTGTCGCAAAGGCACAACTCCACACATCAGTTCGAAACAGTTGACTGCGCATGGCCAAGAATCTCGCCTCTCATTGGCGCAAAATGTTCCGGTATATTACTGTCGAATTGTTTTGATTTGGGTGCAGATTTGACATTTCCTCGAATCTGACGAGGCGCATATAGGCTGGAGGTGCCTAAAAGTTTTCGAGTTTTGAAAGAGAAAGGTGACCTGTGACAATACCCCTGTATATTTGTTATTTGATAAGAAACCTTTATACAAGGCGGAGCGCGCGTAATTGGAGATCGAATTCCGAAGTGCGGGGTGCGAAGCGCGATTGAATTCAACCCGTGCGATTTTATTCCAAGTTTCGACGTAGGCTGGGATTCGCAAGGTTGTCTCAGTCACGCCCCTCACACCTGCTCCAGCTCGCGTCAAACTGCCTGCGTTTTAGGCTGGAAATCCATTAAGGTTGGTTATTTATGGCGACCAAAACAAGAAAATACTATATTTCAGCCTTGCTCAAATGAGAACCCCTAAAATTCAGGGCTAGGAAAAAACAAAAGCTGGAAAAACAGGACGACCCTAAAAAAATACCCTGCTAAACAACATTTCGGAGCATTTTGTCGTGACTTTTGAAGCCCTAACAGAAACACACCATGCATGAATGCACGATCAGGTCCCCAAATTGCATACTTTTTACTCTAATTCAGACATTTTTCAGAGTTTTTTTGGGGGTGTACTCTGATTGCGAAGAATTTTTTTTTGTACCTTACTCTGATTTTCCAGAGAATATTTATGTGCCTACGCTGATTTTTCAGACTCTTTTTTATAATATACTCTGATGCCTCAGCTCTATATGGGGAGTTGACTCTGATTCCTCATAATACCGTCATAAGCGCTACCCTTGTGGAGGGCGCTGACTGGCACTTAGCCAAAATCAGGGAGGGCCCGATGCTTGCTAGAGGCTTTATGAGGGCGCCAATTGGTCCTTGACCAAAATTGATAGCCAAGGAGTACAGGGGGCCGTGTGAGGGAGCTGAGTGGCCCTTCGCCAAAATCACCTCCCAATTTCTGCTGCAGGCGGTGTGAGGGGCCGATTGGTCCTCCACAAAAAAGAAAACATTTGCTGATGTGTGCCGCCCGCGGCCTGTGTGTGCGAGGGCGCCCATTGGCCCTTTGCGAGATTCCCCTCTCCTCTGCAATTTTGTTTCGCCCGCCCCAATTCCGCACATGCCATTTGTCACGAACGAGTCCGCCCCATTTCGTCGCCCCGCCGGCCCCCTAGCGCGCTTGCCGGCCCCTAGCGTACTGCCAGCCCCTAGCGCGCCCACCGGCCCCTAGCGTACCGCCGGCCCTTAGCACACCTCGGCGGCCCCTAGCATTCACACCGTCCCTTACGCGCGGTGCCGGCCCCTTAGCGCCCTACCGGCCCCTCGCGCCTAGCCGGCCCCTAGCGCACCGTGACGGCCCCTCACGCCATGCCGGCCTCACGCACCTAGTCGGACTTTCGCGCCGAGCCGGCCCCTCGTGCCTAGCCGGCCCCTCTCGCCTAGCCGACCTCACGCGCCGAGCCGGCCCTTCGCGCCTAGCCGGCCCTTCACGCATCGCCGACCCCTCACGCCTAGCCAGCCCCGCATGTGCCGTGACGGCCCCTTGCGCCGTGCCGGCCCCTCGTGCCTAGCCGACCCCTCTCTAGCACCGACGGCCCCTCGCGCATAGCCGGCCCCTCGCGTGCTCGCTGGCCCCTCGTGTATGCGTCGGCTCCTCCGCACCCGCCCGGCTTCTCGCGCGCCTTGCCAGCCCCTTGCGCGCCTCGGCCTCTCGCGCGCCCGCCGGCTCCTCGAGCGCCCAATGGCCCTCCCGCACTACTGGGCCCCAGCACTCCGCCTGCCCTTTGCACCCTGCCGGCTTTGCGTGCCTCGGGCCCTCCTCGGCCTCCAGGTCTTCTCGCCGCAGAGTCCTGTTGCAGCCCTGCTGTGCCCCCATGCCACTGTGCACATGTGTCGCTGTGCCGCCGTGTCCCTGTGCCGCTGCATCCCCGTGCCGCTGTGCCGCTGTGTCACTGTGTCGCCGTGTACCTGTGCCTCTGAGGCTGCACGATGGTGGACGCCGTAGTTTTCTAGGACGCGGAGGGGCACGCGATCGACTTCGCGGCCTAGCTTGTCGATCTTCACCGGCACCTTACAGGTCAGCGCCAGGATGGGCACTCTCTGGCTATGAATGTTGATTCCTCGCCCCGCTGTGCCTGATCCCCTCCGTGCTGGCCCCACCACTGCTGAGAGTGAGGCCTTCTCTGCTGCTGCACTCGCTTGCGCTGTCTGAGATCCTCGCGATGCTGTAGCGCAGCTTACCATTAGCCATGTGCTTCCCCTATCTGAGCGTCCGCACTTCACTGCTATCGCAAACGCCAAGGATTTCCTAGATGTAGTAGTTGCGCGCTACTACTCTACACCTGCCTCTGGCTCCGTTGGCCGCTTGATCCTCCCCATGCTATTCCCCGATCTTTCCACTTTCCCCATTGTCGCTTATCTCGCCACTCACCTTCGTGCACTAGAGACTAGCTACCGCGCTGCTAGCACTGCCGCCCCGCTCACTACCTTCCCCCCACCATTCTACGCTACCCTGTACCTTATTGCCATGCGCCTGCCTGATCGCTTAGCCACTGCCCGAGACCACTTCCTTAGCTAGCACCCTGGCGACCTCACCCTCATCGCCTTTGTCACTGCCCTGTCTGAGATAGAGACTCGCCAGTGCACTATCACTCAGTCGAGCGGTATTACGGCAGCCCCTATCTTTCAGGGATCTACTCCCTCCCAGTGCACGTACGTAGATGTTTCCGCCGCGGTCGCTATGGCTAACCCTGCCACTGAGACCGCACCTGCGGCCTTCCCGCAGCAGCGACAGCGCTGGGCCCGCCGCAGCCCCAAGGGAGGGCGTGGTGGTGGTAGTGGTTGTCGCAGCAGAAGCAGTTGCAGCAGTAGCAGCAAAAGCAGCCGCAGCAGCAGCCACGGCAGCAGCTGCAGCAGTCGTGGGCCCACCTCCCACCAGGGTGGCCAGGAGCCCCTGGAGGTGGTGGCCGCGGTGGTGGCCCCTGCAGCTCGGCGTCTACCGGCAGCTTCGGTGCTGTGAGGTGCCAGTACCAGCTCCAGACCGAGACCCTTCATGGCACTGTGTGCCACCGCTCGCACCCGACCACCTGCTGCTTCCGCCGCCTCGACGACCTCTTCCGTCGCCGCTTCAGCCCGGCCCCGGACCTCCCCGACTGGCCCAGTCTGCTGCGCCATGGTGTGCCTGTGTTTGGCTTAAACATGGATCAGATTAGTTCTACCCTGCATTCTCTATATGCTGATGCTTCTAGTGTGTCTAGAACTTATTGCCTTGTGTTCTCTAGCTTAGGCGTAGCACCTGTGTGTAGTACAGACTCCCCTGCTGCGTCAGGCGTAGGACATTTTGCTTTGTCTAGCCTAGGCTCCACAGTCGCTCCTCCCTCGTCTGCCGCTACTGCTTCACTGTCCTTCACACTTGACTCCGCTGCGTCTGCATGCTTCTTCCGCGACCACGCCACCCTCACGCCGCTTGCCACGCCTGCCGCTGTCGCACTTGCTGACCCCTCTTTTGGTCCTATCGTTGCTTGCAGCTACACTACCCTTCCCTGTCCGTTTGGTTCCCTCGGGTTCCCTTACAGGCCTGTGTTGTGTGATGTCATCATATGCTATCACATTCTGTCTGCCTCTCATCTCTTGTTTCAATTCGTATGTATGGTTTGACTGTGTGTGAAAGAATTTGTGTGTGGTGTGTTCTGGAGTTTGGGAATGTGTTTTGTGTTATTCTGTCTGAGCAGGTATTTGTGATGATATATCTTGAGAAGATCTTTCCGACGCAACAAGAATCGCTTCAATCGGAGCAAGAACGCGAAAGCTATGAAGATTCAAAGTTCATGAGCTTGCGTTACAATTGCGGCGGTTACAAAGTGAAGTTGTGGGGTGACTCTATATGGAGTTGGGACCTTTGGGGGTTGGGGAAATTTGTCACTCTACTGTAACAGCTGCAAATTGGTTGGGAACAACCAAGCTAGGTTGGCAAGGGTGGCCAACTTGGATGGATTGGTTGGGAAGGGACAAATGTCAAAATTGGGGTTCCTATAGGGAGGGAATCTTTGTGCTTATGGGGTTTCCTTGGTTGGGGACTCTCTTGGGACCTTCCCTCTCGTCCCTCTCTTTCTATCCCAACCTTTTCTCTTGCTCCTCTAATTCCTTGTGAGATTCTTGAATTTTGATTGAACTTTTGAGATTGAGTTAAGTTCTCCTCCTACAGCTTACCCCTCAGTGCGTCGAAAGACATAGCGTCGCGAATACTTCATCAATCGACGTGATTCAAATTGAGAACGGTAGCTAAGATTGCGAGCTACAACATATCCGAGTTTTGCGACATTCCAACGGCTAGGTTTTCGTCGACGTCGTTTCTTGTGAAGACGACTTTTCTGTCCAGAATTTCGGATATATATTTTGAGTAATTCTAGCTCCTAAGTTCACGTAGACTCCGTCCTTAATCCTAACAAGTGGTATCAGAGCCATATTGAGGACATTGAGAAGAGTCTACAGAAGTGTGAAGACCCTTCTAGACCCACCATGGCCTGTGGGCGTGCCTAAGTGGTGTTCTAAAGGTTGGATGTGACTTCCGCTAAGGGGAAACTCTGCCGAAATTTCGTGGACGCCGACACTTGTGAAAATATCGAGGGAGCTGAGTCTGGACAGCAAAGGGGGAGCTGAAATTCGTCATTTCTCAAGGAGAAGATGAATGAGAGAGGAGGAGATGCTAATGGAAGAGGAGCTGTACCTGAGAAGCCAAGTGAGCCGCCGCCATCAAAAGTTGAAGCTTTGGATGGCTCCAACTATGAGGAATGGAGCGGACGGATGAGGAGTGCCTTCAAACGCTACAAGCTACTGAAGATTGCTGTTGGGGAAGAGAAGATGCCGGAAGAAGGCGAAGCACGCGAACGGTGGATTGAGAAAAGCGTGGTGCTTTTCGACCTCATGCTTCAATCGGTCAACAAGGAGATGTTCGAGCACATCAAGGATCTTGTGGAAGCGGATGATTCGGGTCCAAGGGCGTGGAAACTACTACGCGATGTGATTCAGCCCAACACTCTCCCGATGGTGATCGTGCTCAAGAAGGAACTTGCTGCCATCTCCATGCGACCAGGGGACGATGTGAAGCCGGTCCTTGACAAGATCAAGGACACCTATGCAAGGATGGCAGCAGCGGGAAGCAGTGTATCTCAGCTGCAGCAGTGCACCAAGATCATCTCGGTGTTGGACAACTCTTGGGACAACCTCATCCCCACCCTCAACTCTCAGCAAGATCAATGGACACCTGAGTGGCTAAGGCAGCAGATTCTGCAGGAGGACTTCCGCAGACGCCATGTGGGAGGCGGTGCTGCCACTAAGACTGCTGAGGGGTATGGAGCTGCAGGGCGCGGCAGAGGAAGAGGGGGTTGGAGAGGCCGAGGCCGTGGGAGGAGCTTTGGCAGAGGTAGAGGCCGAGGTGACTATAATGAGGGGCATGGGAGCTCTGGTGGCAGGGGGAGTACCAGAATGGAGGGCACCTGCTGGTACTGCAAGAAGGTCGGGCATCCTTGGTTCAAGTGCTTCAGCAGGCCGGAGGGATGGGCACCTCCAGGCATGAAGCCGCCCAGTGGTGAACGCGCACAAGGTGGCGCTGTGCAAGGCTCAGGTGCACAAGGTGAAGGTGCACAAGGTAATGCCTATCCTGGTTTGTTTCTTATGGTTGAGGATGTGCATGGGCATGAGGGTGATGTTGGATCAGTGGGAAAGGTTGTGATGCACCCTCTCACACACTGGGTGATTGATTCGGGTTGCACCAGTCACATGACCCCACGGGCAGATTTGCTTGATGAGGTAAAACCCCCTGGGAAGATCAAGTATGTGGCAGCAGCGTCAGGTGCTTTGCTCCCCGTGATTGGTGTTGGGAATGCCAAGGTTAAGGGAGCTAATGGGGAGCTTGTGGGGCTTGGGAATGTTCTGTTGGTTGAAGGTTTGTCTGCTAACCTTCTCTCTGTGCGGCGACTGCAAAAGAGCAAGGCCGAGGTGACCTTTGGACCAACCAGCTGCCGTGCTAAGCTTGGGAAGAAGGTGCTGTGGAGTCTGGAAGAGGAGACCAGCTGCATCAAGGACCTATGGCAGCTGCCCATCATCCCTTGGAATGGGAAGACTCCAACAAGAGCAACGGTAGCAACGGCAAAGGCAACAGCAGGAGGAGATGCAACTGCACCAACTGATGGGGTCCTGGAAGCAGTCAAGAAAGTGCAGCAGCAGCAGACACATGGTGAGGTGCTTGCTGGTGTGGATGCGAGTGCGGCATGGGCTAAGGCTTCATCAAGGAGTGGTGAGGCCGATTGGGAGACATGGCATGAGAGGCTGTGTCATGTAAACTTCCCTATGCTGCAGAAGTTGGTGAAGGATGGGAGCCTGAAAGGCTTGGAGGTGAAAGGGGGAGTGAAGGAGATTGGGAGCTGCCCTACATGCTTGGAGACCAAGTTCTCCAAATTCCTCTTCAACAGCACTACAGGACCAGCCAAGACCCCACTTGCACTTGTGCACATGGATGTGGTGGGGCCCACAAGAGCCCCTTCCCTCTCAGGCAGCCGCTATTTCTTGACAATTGTGGATGACCACACTCGGGCAGTGTGGGTTTACCCTTTGAAGAGCAAGGGGGAGGTGGCAGCGGCTGTCCTTAAGGAGTGGATGCCTAGAGCTCAGAGGGAATGCGGACACAAGGTGAAGGTGATCCGCAGTGATAATGGTGGGGAGTTCATTGGAGCTGATTTTGAGGGGGAGTTGAAGAGGAAGGGGATCCAACATCAACTGACAGTGCCCTACAACCCGCAGCAGAATGGCGTGGCTGAGAGGTTCAACAGGACTCTGCAGGAGGGGGCACGCACTCTCCTTGGGCGTGCAGGGCTGCCTGATCCGTTTTGGGTGTCTGCACTAAGGCAGGTCGCCCTTGTGAAGAACAGGGTGCTGGCTACAGTTGGGGATAAGGAGTGGATCCCATATGTCAAGTGGTATGGGAGTGCTCCAGTTGTGAACATGCTGAGGGCATTTGGGTGCATGGTGGTGTTTCATGTGCCTAAGGAGAAAAGGGGGAAGTTGGAGGCTTCTGGAAGATGGGGTGTGCACTTGGGGATTGCAAAGGATCACAAAGCATGGTTGCTATGGGACTTGACCACCCAGAAGTTGACAGTGTCAAGGGATGTGAAGTTTCTTGAGTCCCTGTACTACAAGGAATGGAAGCAGCAGCAACAGAAGCTTCCATCTACACCGCTCATTGTGGAGGCAGATGAGGTGCAGCAGCCTTCAAGACAGGTGGAGGTTGCAGTGTCAGAGGAGGAGATGTCTGGGGTGACTGAGGAAGGGGGAGCAGCTGAAGTAGAGCAGCAGCAGCAGCAGCACCAGCAGCATGAGTCTCCACCTCGAGTTCCACACCCGCCTGAGCGTCCTAGGAGGGATGTGCGCCCTCCAGTGAGGCTGACCTATGGGGGAAGAGGCAAGCCGAATGTGGTGCAGGCTGGGAGTGTGGTTGAGCAGATTGAGGAAGATGAGATTGCATTATGCTATTGGGCTGCAATTCCTCAGCCCAAGGTACTGACGCTAGCTTCAACTCAGTGAAAGCGGATGGCACCAGCATTGGGGGTTATGTGTGCTTGCTAGGAGGTGGTGCTGTGAGCTGGCGCAGCAAGAAGCAGAATGAGGTGGGATTGTCCTCATGTGAGACTGAGTACATGGCCTTACACCATGGGGCCAAGGAAGTTGTGTGGCTGAGGCGTTTGTTGGAGGAGTTGGGAGTTGGTCAGGAGGAGCCGACAGTTGTGTTCTGTGACAATGAGTCTGCTGTGAAGCTCGCCAAGAATGCTTGTCTGCATGGGCTGAGAAAACACATAAGGCATAAGTGGCATTGGGTGAGGAGACTCCTTGATAAGGAGGTGCGGCTGGAGATAGTGAAGACCCATCAGCAGGCAGCAGATATTTTCACCAAGCGTCTGGCGGAGGCGGATCATTGGAAGGGCATGAAGCTTGCTGGGATGAGTGTGCATTGAGTATGCATGCTTGAGATGTTGGTATGGTGGATGATGGTTGGCAACCAGAGGGGGAGATTGTTGTGTGATGTCATCATATGCTATCACATTCTGTCTGCCTCTCATCTCTTGTTTCAATTCGTATGTATGGTTTGACTGTGTGTGAAAGAATTTGTGTGTGGTGTGTTCTGGAGTTTGGGAATGTGTTTTGTGTTATTCTGTCTGAGCAGGTATTTGTGATGATATATCTTGAGAAGATCTTTCCGACGCAACAAGAATCGCTTCAATCGGAGCAAGAACGCGAAAGCTATGAAGATTCAAAGTTCATGAGCTTGCGTTACAATTGCGGCGGTTACAAAGTGAAGTTGTGGGGTGACTCTATATGGAGTTGGGACCTTTGGGGGTTGGGGAAATTTGTCACTCTACTGTAACAGCTGCAAATTGGTTGGGAACAACCAAGCTAGGTTGGCAAGGGTGGCCAACTTGGATGGATTGGTTGGGAAGGGACAAATGTCAAAATTGGGGTTCCTATAGGGAGGGAATCTTTGTGCTTATGGGGTTTCCTTGGTTGGGGACTCTCTTGGGACCTTCCCTCTCGTCCCTCTCTTTCTATCCCAACCTTTTCTCTTGCTCCTCTAATTCCTTGTGAGATTCTTGAATTTTGATTGAACTTTTGAGATTGAGTTAAGTTCTCCTCCTACAGCTTACCCCTCAGTGCGTCGAAAGACATAGCGTCGCGAATACTTCATCAATCGACGTGATTCAAATTGAGAACGGTAGCTAAGATTGCGAGCTACAACATATCCGAGTTTCGCGACATTCCAACGGCTAGTTTTTTGTCGACGTCGTTTCTTGTGAAGACGACTTTTCTGTCCAGAATTTCGGATATATATTTTGAGTAATTCTAGCTCCTAAGTTCACGTAGACTCCGTCCTTAATCCTAACAGCCTGCACATCCCTTCGTTCTCCTGGAACCTAGCTGGTGTCAACTGTCTTAGGACCTCGGCATCACCACTACGTTCCCTGGTTACGAGCGGTACACTGTCTGTACCGAGGCCACCTCAGGTTCCCCCCTTGCGACGTTCCCCCGGGACCCATCTCTGGCTTGTTTATGCTGGACACTGCTTTCCCCCCGTTTGGGGCATCCTGCGTGAGCCCTGCGTCTACACAGGTCGCCGCTGCTTGTTCGTGTCAATTGCTCACTCACCCATTGTTGTTGTGGCACCACCGCCTAGGACACCTCGCACTCCCGCGTCTGCGTCACATGTCCCAGCACGATCTCGTCCTAGGTCTCCCTTCGTCGCATCCTGCCCTCCCTCCCTGCCCTACGCTGCCGTGCACGCCGTGCGTCGAGGGCCGGCTGCGCCATGCTCCTCACTTCTCGCTTTGCCATGCCACCGCACACCTCCAGACCCTGCACCTGGACGTGTGGGGCCCAGCCTCCGTCCCTGGACCGCGTAGCGAGCGCTACATTCTAGTGCTCATTGACGACTACTCGCGCTACACCACGGTTTCTTCCTTGGAGCGGAAGGCTGACATGCCTGACGTTCTTATCCCATGGGTCATAGCTGCGCGCCTCCACCGCGGTCTCCCTGTGCAATGTCTCCACTCCGACCGTAGCGGCGAGTTTGCCTCTGGTCGGCTTGGACAGGTGTGTCGTGCGGAGGGCATCACCCAATCGTACACCCTAGCACACAGATGCTTCTTGGGCAGACGACGCTGGGACCCTCAGGTCTTTCCAGGGCTACTGCTTTAGCCTTGGTTCGGGTGCCATCTCGTGGAGGTCCACTCGTTCCTCGTCTGTTGCCCATTCTAGCTGTGAGGTTGAGATCTACGCCGGTGCCATGGCGGCACAGGAGCTCCGCTCGCTGACCTTCTTGCTCACTGACTTAGGTGAGCGGCCTAGCTCTGCCCTGGTTCTGTACGCTGACAACAGGGTCATGATCCTCCTGTGTCAGGAGCCTCGACTTGTGGGCAGAGCAAAGCACATCCAGCTGCGGTACTTCCTCCTGCGCGAGCTGCAGCAGCGTCGCCAGGCCCGCGTAGTACACTTGGCCTCCGGTGCCAACACAACTGATGTCTTTATACAGGCACTTGCACCTAAAGATCATCAGCGGCATTGTTTGCAGCTTGGTCTAGTTCCTGTAGATTCTCACTTGCTAGGACCTTGATTGTGTACTACTCTTTATATATACCTTCCAGACTGGCCTTGTGGCTTCTCTTCCAGTGGCCGGACTAGTAGTGCCGCCCTGGTTTGCTCTTGTCTTGTTTGTACTCTTGCTGACTGGTCTTCGAGCCCCTGCCTCAGAGGTTGGACTAGTAGTGCCACTCTGAGCTGCATGTTTCTTGCTCAGCACTGCCCCTTATCTAGCCTAGGGGATGTGTCAACTTATACATCTATTTGTATGTATAAGGTATAGGCTAGATAGGTTTGTGTTCTTAAAGTGTACAACTCCAACCCTATATCTCTCTTGTTCTCTCTTGTTTCTAATTTATTTTCGTATTCTAACAGCTGAGTGCAGGACATTCGTTGACATATGACAACGGCTTTAAAGTCAGCGTTTAAAAACATAGTGACTCTGATTGATTATACATAAAAAAATCTTGTTACTCTGATTTTTCAGACTTTTTTTTAGGGGCAACTGTGATGCCTATACCAAGGGATGGCAGGCAAGTTTGACGAATGATACAACCCCAAAACCAATTTGGGGGCCTGTGCACGACCATCTAATCACCACCCCTCTACCACAACCCAAGGACGTCGAAGCTCAGCCAATTTCTGCTGCCCAAAACCACACTCCTTCACCAGCAGCCTCGTCACCCGTCTGCCCTCCAGAATTGGCCTCAGCCACGCAGGCTGGAATACATTGAAGCTCGCATCCAACGCCTGCAGCCGCGGCATTTCACCGACATCCTGCAGAAACGTCTGTCGGATGTTGATGCAGTGCTGCACCTTCAAGCACGGCAGGTGGTCAAAGTGCGGCAGAATGGCAGCGCCCTTGCGACTGATGGACGTGCCGGACAGGTCCAGAGACACCAGCCCCCTCATCCACCACACGGCTGAGTCGGCCCCAAAGCTGCACCCAGCCAGGCTCAGGTCTGTCAGTCGAGTCAGGTGGTTGAAGCACGTAACATCCAGAGAGGTGCTGCTGATGTGAAGACTTTTGAGGCGCTTCAGTTTACGAATTGACTCCCATGCCTGGTATTTTCTCTCGACCGCGTGCACCGCGAGGTGCTCCAAGCCCTGCAGCTCGCCCACCACTTCCCACATGCTGCCACTGACGCGCATACTCGGCCGATTATCGCACAAGGCCCATTGTGCCAATGAAGGCCTCTGGAAGAACCTAACTATCTCTGGCAAGCCATTGCTGGAATGCTCCATCTGCAGCCCAGGATGATGCTGCATCGCCGGCGCCACCTGCAGCCACCTCAGCCTGGTGAGCCGCTTGAGGTGCTGCCACCCGTGGAGGGTCACTTCCTTGCTGCACGTGCAGGAGAAGGCCTCAAGACCTGCCAGCACGCCCACCTGCTGCAGAGTGGAGTCACTGACTCCGCTAACGTGAAGCTCTTTTAGATTCCTAATGGGATGTGGCCCTTCGGGGATGTCCAAGGCAGAACTGATAAGGATCAAATCAGAGGGTTTGGGGCTGTCCATGATGACACGGTGGAGGCGGGTGAAGGATTGCAGCGAAGGCAGGGCGTCTGGAGCAATGGAGGTGCAGCAGAGGGTGAGCGTGGTTCGGGAGGGCAGTTGGATGAAGCTGCGCATAATGTGGGCGGGGATAGGAGGGAGGCCGACTAGATTGAGGGCAGTGACCAAAGGGAGAAGGTCGGGGCGGCAGCAGGGAGCGAGGGCGAGTGAGTAGGTGAGACACTGATGGTCCGAGTGGCCAAAGCCATAGTGGCCTGAGAAGGTGAGGTCCGTTGCTGCTGGGTCCTAGGCGGACAGGAAGCAGATCACACGGTCCATGTGGTCTCTGGCGCTCGGCTGCCGGGACACCATGCAGCAGCAAGTCGATCTCTGCCTGAGCCTTCTCCTTCATCTGCTCTCTCGTCATGGGAGGGAGGAGGGGTGGGAGGGACGGAAAGGTGCAATGATGAACTCGTGGAGGGAGAACAAGAGAAGACAGCCGGCTGGATGAAAGCAAGAAGTGACAGTACGAAGGGGAACTTCGTGGGGTGGGACGTCCAGAACATCACATGAGATATTTGAGGGAACCGCTCGCAGCCCAATTTGTACGTCCCACCTGCACCAAGGCACATTTGATTCAACTTCTTCCATTGCATCCCCCCCTTCTCCCTTGTGCTCCTCTGCCTCTTCCTCTACTTCACCTCGCCCTTCACCTCGCCCTTCACCTCGCCCTTCACCTCGCCCTTCACCTCGCCCTTCACCTCGCCCTTGTTCACCTCGCCCTTCTTCACCTCGCCCTTCACCTCGCCTTTCACCTCGCCCTCCCTCCCCCCCTAGCCCGTCCCTTCATCCTATACGGAAGTCCTTCTCATGCCCGTCCGTTGGATCTCGACAGACAGCTTCACCCCCTCCGTCCATCCTCTTGCCCAAGTAGAGTCCCATTTCATCCTCCACCTCCTCCTTCACCAGCCGCCCCTGCACTTTGTGCTCTCTTTCTGCTTGCGAGCATTTCCTCCACCCCCCTATAGAATTCTAGGAGGTATGATTTAACGATTTTGTTATGCCACACTTGCACACCCTGCATCAGCTGTTGAAGCGCTCGATAACCCTGTCTTTTGAGTACCGGTACTTGTAGCCGCCTCGGAACGACCTTGGTAAGAACCGATTTCAGACAGTTCATTCAGCCATTGAATCGATGCCGTCCGCCAATCGAGCTCCTTGTCAATGTCAGCCGCACGATGGTCCACGTCAGCAAAGCGTCTCCATCAACTCCCATCCAACTCCTGCCAAAGTGCTCCCTTTTTAAGGCTTCAAGTTGGCGAGGGACGTCGCTCATAGTGGGGCGGGAGGAGGTGGGCATAGCTGTGCACGCAAGGTCGATCCTTGCAAGAGCGGAATGAGGCTGTTGTATTATTCCGGAAGAAGGGGGTCCTTGAATGCTGCAACATTGCCTTCATTCACAAAGGGGCGGACCTGAGAGGTGAGAAGGTGGGTGGGTTGGATAGGAACGATGGAACAGGGCGATGAGAACAACGGAGTGATGCTGTTGGAAAAGACGCTAGTATAGTTCTCGTTGATGGAGAATTGTGAGGTGGCAGTGTGAGTTGGGGGAGAGACTTAGATGGAGCATGCATTGTGCTTGAACCCAATTGTGGGATAGAAAATAAACAGTGCAGAAACAGATAGCTTTGAGTTTCAACTCAAGACGTATGAGTAATTGCATACTTGATGGTCCTTGGACGGCGTACATGCGGTCAATTAAACTTAGGCAAGTTAATGAACACACAAGATAATAAAGCGCACAACTGAGTCAGTGATAGCCTGCTACACGTACCCAGTCTCTGATGTTGCATCCGGCACCATCCACTGAGAGTATCACATGCCGCATTGTTATGACCTCCAGCAACATCACACCATAACTGCACGAATAGATCCATTAAGGAGAGTAGAACCAGAAATAGTTTAATTTGAAAATAATAGGCATGGACAAACATAAAAAATATCACTCATGGATACAAGTTTTGCATGAACGAATGTTCCATAAGTACTTCTCTCTATGCCCCTCCTCGTACAAGGCTGAGTTGTATGCGGATGAGTTCTCTGAGAGCACAACGTCTTGTATTCTTCTTGAATACCTTGTCAGCAGAGGCACCCACTCGTCATTGGTTCGCAACAATGGAATCCAACAAATAAAGGAGTCCACTATCGGTTGTGACAAGTGAGTGACCCGCGTTCCAAGATCGCTCAAACAATGTTGCTACTTTACAAGTGCAGTCGGCAATAGACACTTGCAGGGGGGCACTCCGGCCCCGGAATCGCTATAGCCAATGAGCCGAGCCCAGCTCGAGGGCGCTTCTGGCTCGTCGAAGGCTGGCGCGCGGCTTGTGGGTGCCTAGTGCGGCTGAAGTCATATGGGGAAAAACTATAAACATTTAGACACCCCCTCCTACAACCCAATATCTCCAACCGCATCTTATCAACCTGCGTAGCACAATCTACCAGGATCCAAGTTTTTCAACAGCTTGCTTCACCTATTTGCGTGGTCAGAACCCACCGACTCTAGTATAGATCAACCCCTTTAGGCCCGGAATGGGATTTTGGGTTAGGTCCTCTGTATCAGTGCTACATCCGCTAACCTATTGCTAAGGACGTCATGCAACTCGAGGGTCACCCAGCTCGAGATCGAGCAAAGAGCCGGCACTCTGGTCGGCTCGCCCCTCCTTTAGGTCGGCCCTTAGCCAACTAGGCCCTGGCTCATTAGTTTGCAAAAAGACAAATCTTGAAATGCACACTCTACGCATCCTCACCCGGGGGACCTTTGACCCAATCCCTCGTTTCTTCGCCTGTCTGTTTGATATAAATATATTGTACATTCTAAAAATAAGCCTTCCCATGATCTTTAGGCTGATCCTAGTAGGCTTGAGCAACGGGTCGGGTCGGCCCTTGCAATGGAGTAACCCGACCCGACCCGACATGCCCTTGACCCGACCCCGGGTCAGGTGATACCCAACCTGTTATGGTCGGGTCGGGTTGAGTCGGGTCAGTCTAATGCAAGGGTCGACCCAACCTTGGCCCGACACGACCCGACCCGAACCTGACCCCGTGTAAGGCAAATTAGGGCGGGCCGAGTCGACCCGTTGCTGAAGCCTAGATCGTAGTGGTGCGTTTTCAACAAGGGTACGATGGGAGCGCACCAGTGAACGTCAGCCATGGGAGTGGCCTTGTTGGTGTGGGAGTAAGCAGGGTCAACGTAGCCCGGGGTGGCGACCACGCGGGTGTGATTCACTGCGGTGCCCTCTGTCATGCGCACCAGCCCGACGTCTAACACCTTAGCCTGCATGTTGGCATCGAGCAGCACATTGGCGGGCTTCATGTCTTGATGCACGATGCCAAACTGGTGCAGGTACTCCAGCCCCCGCGCCACCCCCACCAGCACCTCCGTGCGCTGCTGCACCGACAGCTCTCCCTCCCTTGGCCCTGTGGAGGGGGACGAGACACGACAAGGCGCGTGGGGAGAGGAGCATCATGGGAGCATCATGGGAGGGCAAGGGAAGCAACATACAGGGCCAACTCCACCTGCACCTCCGTGTGCACTGCTGCAGCACCAGGGTTCCTTCAGAAGAGCCTGTCGAGGAGAACCAAGGGGCATGGAACAGGGAAGAATTTTGAGAGCGCTGTGTCGGGACATTGAATGGAGCGCTTGTGAAGAGCGGTGGGTCAGTAACACCCACATGCCCTGCTCATAAGTTCTGCGATATAAGCGAATCGAATTCCGTCATTGACTTAAGAGCTTGGCCCAAATGGTGTGTTAGATGTTGGACAGCAGATAAAAAAAAAAACAAAAAACAAAAAACAAAAAACCTGATTGCGAGGCTGTTTTCCTTCACACAGAGCCTTGGGCACGCAAGTAGCTTCCACCTTGGACCTGTTGAAGAACCTTGCTGTTGGAACCCGAAGCGTGCCTTATAAAAAGAGCGATTGAAGATGGTGTGAACAGACCACTGGGGTGACCCCATAGATCTCGGAACAACTACAGATTTTGTCCTTGGGGGTGTTGGCGAGCGCTGCACAACCACCTATTTACATACCCTTTAGCCCGGTTGTTTAGCAGACTTGAGTTATAACATGGTTTTCAGAGTGATCGCATGTTCATTTCCCCGAGTGATGAACATCGAGCCTTGGCAGATTGCGGGTCCGAGCCCATACAGTGCTCTCCGGCCGGGAGTAGACATGAGCAAGGGCTGGGTTCGGGCCGACCCGGCCCCCACCCTCGCCCGAGGCTCGACTAAACAGGACGGGCTGGGGTGTGCCGTCCTCATAGGGTCGGAGAGCACCGGTATGGGCTGGGCTGCCCTCGGGCCCGTGGTGTTTTCGCCGCCAGTCTGCACAGTTTGGGGCTAATGGTCGAAACATTTGACCCGCGAGACACGGGTAGTGGAGGTCGTCGATGAGCCGTGTTTCGGCCCACGGGCCTGTGGCGGACCGTCGTCGACGGAGTGGACGGGTTCCGGGCCAGACTGAGCCCGTCGACACGGGCTGGGCGGGGGGCCAACGGGTGGCTTAAGACCATCTGCAAACAGGCTGGGCGGGCCCGACCTCGGCCTGACCCTCCGCTCATGTATAGCCGTGAGGCCTTCGGACCCTACCCCCACCGGTTCGCACGAATATTGTGTACCGCCATGCCATTCCAATTTTAGGAAAAGCGAACAGCGAAATGGAGAATCAGGAAACTAGGAGAGAAGCTAGGTAAGGTTGCCCTAGACCTAAGAAAGGGGAAAGTGGGTCAAAATCTTCGACCTAAAAGAAGAAAAATTTGACCCAGGTGGTCGACCCCGGCCCGTCGTCACGAGAGTCCACGGGCCAAAGGCCGGCCGAACCGGCCCGTTTGGACCGCATTCCAAGGTCACCCTGCCGGTATACCACGGGCTCGGCCAGGCCGGCCATAGGGCAACAGGGATGACCTTAAACATCCTGGAACCACTACAACTAAGGGTGAGGTACCTCTCTCACCTGCACTGCGGTGCTTCTCTCACGCCCATTGAGGTACTTCTCTCGCTTGCACTGAGGTTCTTTTCTCACCTCCACTTAGGTACTTCTTGGGAGAAAACTGTTGATGGTTTGTGTTAGAAGGTGGTGAGCCTTACATAGTTGAGGGTAAGTGGGGGAGGGTTGAGTTGGGAGTTGGCCAAGATTATTGGCCCTCGCAAATGAGTTGGGTTGGGTTGGGTTGGATTGGGTTGGGTTGGGTTGGGTTGGATTGGGTTGGGTTGGGTTGGGAGGTCCAATTATCCTGGTTGGGATTATTGGGGATCCCAAATAATTGGGAACCCAACCAAATTGGGGACCCAACCAAGTTGGGAACCCCACCACCACCCTAATTGTAGCGCGTTGCATATAACTACTTGCGAAGAACTTATCTATGTAGGCTAATAGATAGAGCAGTCCATTCCACCACCCCGTATCCTGCATATAGCTAGAAGTCTTGAGGCCTTGAAGAGAAGCAACCCATGAATCAAATGATCCGCCTAGGGGTGTGGGGGGCAAGGCTCAGGAGGCGGAGTAGAGCCGCATGGGGTCCGTGAGGTAGGGCCAACGTAAAGATGGCCGTAAGGTTGGGAGAGGAGTCGATCTTGCGGACGGCGAGATGCCCCGCCTTGACGAGCTCGCAAAAGTGGCGGAGCTTGATGCGCTTGGAGTGTCCATGAAAGACAGCCTCCTTTGTGAGATGGTGGTTTTCGCGTTGTCGCAGCAGATGGTGGGACACGGCAGAGGAGGGCCCCGGCTTGGCAAGGAGGAAGCTAAGCCACCGCCCCTCCTATGCCGCCATGGCGACAGCATAATTTCTGCTTCTCAGGAGGGGAGAGCGATGGAGGAGGAGCACGTAGCGCGTCACGAGATGAGGTCACTTTTGAGGGAGGAGCCATACCCCATCAGCGTATTGGCCCGCTTCGTTGCTACCGGCAAGCATGATGTCGTTCTCTAGCAAGCGGCCAAGCATGTCCACCGCTACCTTCGGGGGACCAAGGAACAGTCCTTACCCTTGGCGGCCCCTCCCTACCCCTCCTCACTGGCTATTCTAATTCAACCTGGGCTGACTTTAGGCCTGACCGCCGCTCCTCTCAGGGCTATGGGGTCTCCCTTGGCAGCGGCCTCATCAGCTGGCGCGCCACCCGCTCCTCCTCTAATGCACTCTCCTCCTATGAAGCACAGCTGTATGCCGCTACTATGGTCACGAAGGAGGCTCGCTGGCTCACATTCCTTCTTGAGGAGCTTGGTGCCCCTCAGCGCTATCTCACCATCTGGTGCGACAACGCCAGCACCATCCACCTCACGAAAGATGCTGTGTTCCACGGGCGCTCCAAGCACATTAAGCTTTGCCACTACTTCGTTCGCGAGCTCGTGCAGGATGGCCATCTCCAGCTGGGCAAGATTGACTCTGCCACCAATCTTGCCGACAACCTCACCAAAGCCCTCCCCCATGCCGCCCACTCCTCCCTCCTTCGCCTTCTTGGCCTCGCTCCCCCTGTTCCCTCGTCCGCCTCCTGATTCAAGGCATCTAGTCTTATGCATGTTGGGGGGTTGTGTTGTGAAATATATATCTATACAACATGCATGCCTAGATTAGGAGGTGTAGTCATTATAATTATTGGGGGGTTGTTGGTTGGGTTGACCAACCCCACATTTGGGTTGGTCAAGATTGGATTTGGTCCTAGACATCTGGTTGGCACTATTCCAACCAAATGGTCCTTGGTCCTAAGACCCAACCAATCACCAAGCACCACACTTTGTGGTTGCTTACCTTCCAAGCAACCTCTCCCATTGGTCCACATTGTGGCCACTTAGAGAGCACCACACTTTGTGGTTACTTGTCCTCCAAACTACCTCTCCCATTGGTCCACATTATGGCCAATAGGAGATCTTCCCTTCCATCTCTTCCTTGCTCCTTGTTGTACCATAGAGCCTCTTGGCTCCCTACTCAATCAATCATTTCTCCTTTAAGCTAATTCCTTCTGTCACTTCATGTCAGTACGAGGTGTCACTTCATGTCAGTACAGGGTGTCACTTCATGTCAGTACAGGTTGCCACTTCATGTCAGTACAGGGTGTCACTTCATGTCAATGCAGGGTGCAAAGAGCATGCCGAACAGGCGGTAGATGTGTGTGCGGTATTCCTTGGAGGACGTGAGGAGGGCCACGGGGGGTTAGGCAAAGTCAAACCACATTGGGACGGGTGGGTACGGGGAGGTGTATCGAGGGGCGTGCCCATTTGAAGACTCCATGGTGTGGGCTGTGAAGTGAGCCAAGTTACTCACCAATGACTTCAAGCGAGAGGTGTGTGGTGTTGTGGGCATGGAAAATAGTATGAGAGTGGCTCATTCCAAGACTCCATATGGTGTGGGCATGGATATTAGAACAGAGCATCTGTACTCTAGCCATATGTCTTCACTCCCTCCCATTGCCAAGGGCACAGTATCTTCCTCTTGCACCGCTCTCTTTCCATGCTCTTCCCCTCCCCAGGTGGAGGAGATGGCATTGAAGAACCCTCCGCACTTGGTGCGGCTGCTGGGGTACTGTGTGGACATGGATGTGGCAACAGAGCATCATGAGCAGATCATCCTGTATGAGTTCTGCTCCAATGGGGACCTTGAGAATTACCTCAGTGGAGGTGAGACAAGAGTTAGAATATACTATATCGATTAGGCTACATAGATTGGATCGCCTTGAGTAGTTGCAACCTGCTTGGGAATTGTATTCTCAACTTGGTTAGGTCCCCAATTTGGTTGGGTTCCCAATTATTTGAGACCCCCAAGAATCCCAACTAGAGCCGCCTTGCCTGCAAAGACCTAGGGGAAGTTCGCAATTTCCCTGGCATGGAGATCACCCGAGATTGCGCGGCCAAGTCCATCTCTCTCACAAGCCTTCTACCTCAAAAAGGTCCTTGAGCACTTTCCCACGGCCAAACCCGTCTTCACACCTCCCCGCGTCAGGCACCTGCTGATGCCCCATGCTACCCCCTCCTCCACGACTCTCTATGCCGAGCTTGTCACATCCCTAATGTACACAATGATGTGCACCCATGCCGACTTTGCCTATATTATCATTGTCTTGGCACGCTTCATCGACTCGGGAGGGAACTCTGCTTACCATGGGCAGGCGGCCAAACACGTCATCTGCTACCTCAAGGGCACCCAGGATTGCGGCCTCTGCTACCTCAAAGGCACCAATGGCTACGTCCTAACTCTCGGTGGCCGTGCCCCTCCTCAGATCACAGGCAAGCGACTCCTCTTGGACCAAATCTAAGCCCGATCGCCGCAACTCCCAGGACCATGGCATACATGAGAGAGCCAATGAGCTCAGCGTAGGGGTGGGAGGAGGAGGAGGGGGAGGTGAGGGGAGTGAGGTGGTGCCCAATAGGAAGAGGGCTGACCTTAGGGGTGCCTCGAGCCATGTCGAACCGCTCCAGGACCTGCTGCAGGTAGTGGCCCTGGGAGAGGGAGATTGTGTGAGCAGCACGATCGTGGGTAATCTCCATGCCGAGATAGTGCTGTAACTCCCCAAGATCCTTACACTGAGCCGGCTGCCAAGCTCACGCTTGACGCGCTCGAGCTCGGCGGAGTCGGCAGTGATGAGGCTCATATCGTCGACATAGACAAGGATGTAGAAGGGGGAGGGGGAGGTGCTGGGGTCAGCGCGGGAGATGTTGAAGGGTGGCAGCAAGCTCGGCATGCCACTCCCTTGGTGCCTGCTTGAGCCTG